TGTGTGTGTTTGCTGGGCAATGGGGTTAAGTGACTTGCCCAGAGTCACACAGCTAGTAAGTGTCAAGTGTCTGAGGTCGGATTTGAACTCAGGTCCTCCTGACTCCAGGGTCAGTGCTCTATGCACTGTGCTACCTCGCTGCCCCTTTTTGACTTTATTCTTATGGAGTCATTAGCTTCTACTTGACCAAGTCTAATTTTTAAGGAATTATTTTCTTCAGTGAGGTTTTGTACCTCTTCTATCATTTGGCCAATTCTGATTTTTTAAGGAGTTATTTTTTCAGTATTTTTTTGTGCCTCATTTACCAAGCTATTAATTCTGTCTTCATAATTTTCTTTTATTGCTTTTATTTCTTTTCCCAGTTTTTCCTCTACTGGTCTTATTTGATTTTTAAAATTACTTTTTTGCTCTTTTTAAAAAAATCTTTCTTCAGCTCCTCTAGGAATTCTTGTTGGTCCAACATTGTGCATTGTGGAAATGCATTGTGTCACTCTATCATAGAGTAAATGAAAGAGGGGGTAGGTAAAGTGTTAAGAAGACTGTGGGAAGGTAGGAAGGGACCAGGTTTTGAAGGACTTTAAATGCCAAGCAACATTTTATGTTTGATTCAGGAGGTATTAGGTCATTGAGGTTAATTGAGTAGAAAATGGCATGGTCAACATCTACTATTTAGTGAAATCACTTTGGCAGCTGAGTAGAGGATGGGTTTGAGAGGAAAGCGATGTAAAGCCTGAGAGACAACCCAGTATTATTACTGTAATAACAGTAATTCAGGCATGAGGGTGATAATGACCCACACCAAGTTGATTGGATGTGTGAATGGAGGAAATGATTGATAGATGAAAGGTAGAAATGACAAGATTTGAAAACAAATTGGATGTCTGGAGAGAGTTCAAGTAAAGGGTTGAATTTGATATCAGTATTATGAGTGATTGTGAGGCTGGTGGTGCCCTTAATATGAGGGAAATTCAGAAGAGAGAAGAGTTTTTTGGGGAAAGATAGTAAGTTCTGTTTTAAATATGCTGAGTTTGAGATGTGTATGAGACAATCCAGGTCTAGATGTCCAAAAGGTATCTGAAGATTTAAGACTGGAGTTTAGGGATGGATAAATAGATCTGAGAATCATCTGCATAGAAATGATCATTGAATTCTTAGGGGCTGATAAGATTACTAAGTTAAAATAGTATAAAGGGAGAACAGAAGAGTTCCCAAGACAGAGCCTTGGGGGATACCTATGGTTAGTAGGCATGACCTCTGGACGAAGATCCAGGAAAGGAGACTGAGTAGAAAACCAAGAGAGAGGCTGTATAAAAAGCTACACAGAGGTCAAGAAGAATGAGGATTGAATAAAGACTATTAGATTTGGCAACCAAGATATCATTGGTAACTCTGGAAAGAGCAATTTAAGTTTAATGATATGCAGAATGTTTAGGAAAGAGAGTGAGAGGAAAGGAAGTAAAAGCACAGCAAGTAGATGGCCTTCAGAAGTTTAGCCATGAAAGGGAGGAGAGACGGAACAAAAGCTAGTTGGGATAGTTGGATCAAGTGAATTTTTTTTTTTAATTTTTTTATTAAGGATAGGGGAAGGCTTGGATGTATTTGTAGGCATCAAGGATAGGGAGAAATTGAAACTTTATTGGGAGAATGAGGATGATAGTGGGAATACAACATCAAAAAATGAAAAACTTGCCTGCTTTCAAGGAGCTTGCATTCTTTTTAAAAATTTTCTTTTATTAATTTATTTTAAACTTAAATATACAATAAGAAAAAGAAACATAAACTTAAATACTAAAACTTAAATATAAAATAACAAAAGAAAAAAAAAGCATTGCCATGTATGCAGCAGAATGTAAGAGAGGATTCAAAGTATATAGCAATACATTTCCATTTCAAGAAAGCTTATATAATAAATACTATACATTATGTTCAGAAGTATTCATCTTTGCTTCCTTTTAAGTTTTCTTTTTTTCTCTGCTGTGCACTTTTTGCTTTGTTCTTTTTCCCCTCTTCCAGATGCTTATATTCTTATCAAGAGAGACAACATATGCATCTATTTGTGTGTGTGCACATGCACATATAAATACACATGTGTATGTACATTTCTACACATGTGTATATATGCATATATACAATATATATACACACAGATAAATTTTAGTATATATAGAAAAATATATACAGAATAAATATAAAATAAATACAAGATATAAAGGGAGAGTAGTATCAGTTGGTGGTATTGAGAAAGGATATATGTAGGTGGTGTTGCTTGAATTAGGTTTTAAAAGGAGGAGAATGATTCTGTGAGGCTTAAGTGGAGAGGGCATGCATTCCAGGCATTATGGACAGCCTGTACAAAGGCCCAGAGGAAAATAAAGAGAAGTCTAGGCTGGGCCGTAGAGCGCAGGGAATTTAAAAGGATAGGTTGGGTCAATTGTGGAGGGCTTTAAAAGCCAAACCAGAGGAATTTTTGTTTTATCCTGAAGGCAGTGGGGAGCCAGTCTAGATTATTGAGCAGGAGAATGCTGTTGTCAGATGTACACTTAAGAAAAAT